AAATTTGTTGAATTGCTATAATTTTAATTAGTATTCTCTAACTCTTCCTCCAATAATCTATTTCTACTATTATCTTTGATTGAAGAACCAATAGCATCAGTAGCTAATTTAGATGTTAAGAATCCAAAATTCAAATTTACTGAATTAGATGATACTTTATACATAGGTTCATTAGCTACACTAATATCTTAGAGATAATTCATCATAATATCAAGTTATTGTTGTATTTCAGTTGCTGTTACATTTTTATTTACTCGGTAATTTATATAAGATGACAGGATATTTGTATAAGTGTAATATTATTTCACATAATTAGATTTCTCTATGTTTTACTCTGAACTCAATTTATTATTATTTTACAATTCGCTCAAAATCATTAATTATGCAGCTGCCAATTTGATTCTATTATTTACTTAAAACAATAAGTGTGTTTCATTTAATCCTATTAAACTTACATTCGAACTCAAAATATTTGATAATGAATTATATAAAATTTCAGTTTAATTACTTAAAAAAGAGTCATTCTTATCAATTGATAACAATTCCTTAAATAATTCTTCTTTATAATCAATCAAACCACTTAATTAAGTAAGTCTATCAGTTATAATCTTATATCCTATTAATTATTCATCAAATGTTTTCAATCTTTTTTAGTAGTCTCTGATGTTGGTCTCACTTAAATTAGCATATTATTTTATAATTATAGGCTCTGTTATGTTTGCAATTCCACCAATTGAATCTTGGATGTTTACAACAATAAGACTTTCGTCATTATTTGCAAAAGGAAGAGTCAAATTAAATTTAGATTTTTATTATGGAGGTATAACAAGAGTGTAATGATAAAATTTGGAATTCTCAATATCATTTTTATAGATTGATTAATTAGGAAATAACATCACCGAATATTTCAATGGAGTATCAAGATCTTCACAATTAATGATATTCACTTCAAGATAGTCTAAGAATTCAACAAAGCTCTCCTTCTTTTTATAATTTAATTCACACTTTTATGGTGGTATATTCATTGTCAAAATTTGAGTATTCAATGAAGGCATAATGAATCTAGGATCATAAATGGATAATCTCAATCGTCCAACATTTCCTTTAGCTTATTCAAAATTAGTGAAATAATCCAGTATTTTGAATTTAAAGTCTAAATAATAAAACTAAAAAGTAGCTTAAACTATCTAATCATAAATAACAGCTCCTGCATACATTAAAATATCAGGGTTAATCCCTGGATAGTTAAGTTTAAATATGAATTCATCATAATAATTATAAACCTCGAAAGGATTAGCTCCCTAGACTTTCAAAGCTGGTAAATCTAATTCTATAAATTAGATTGAAACTTTAGTTGAATAATTAACATTTTCTTTAATAATTTCTACTTAAAAGTTAACAGCTTTATATGGAGCAAACGTTTTAGCAGGTAAAAATTAATTGCAATTATTATCAAAATTGAGAGTTTAATTCATTTAATTCTAACAAGATGTTCCAAAAACAATATCTTCACAACTCCAATAACAACTATATTATATTTTAGATGCTTCAGCTAAAGTTAAATCTTTATCTGTTATTGAAGTATTCAAGTATAATGTCTACTAAAATCCCAACATTCTATTTCCTCCTGCGATTGTTATAATAGGTGATGAAGGTACTATGTATATTTCAAAAGTTTTTTGATTAGTTACCTTGTAATCAGGTCTACTTAATTTTGTGTTGAATATCAGAATATAAGGATTTGTAAAATTGAAATAAAAAGGTGCAAATTCTAATACAATATCATATTCAAATCCATCCACAAGATTTTCGGTTAATGTCCCATATTTGAGTATTTGTTTTGTGTTTTTTAGTATTATCTCATAATATAATGACTATTATGGTGGATTTTGTTCAATGCAATTAGAATATGAAATTTTATTTGGAATTTGAATGTTCTAAAATCTGTTATATTGATTTATTAATGTAATTTATTTAAAAATTATTGTTGATTATAATTTTGCTTTAAATGAGAATGTTTGAATATTCTATAATTTTGCAAAACTTTCAATCTACGCTCCAAATTTATAAAAAATCCCTGGTTAAAAAAGTTTCTCAGGAAATGTTATGCTCTCACTATTATTTAAGGAATTAGAAGATAATATCTGAGATATGATTGGATCCACACTAACTGGAAGTATTCTATATCTTCAGTTAATAAATCATACAACATCGTTTAACCACCAAATTCAATAGAAAAACCATTAAATTTTTCAGTCAACCCAAAATATGGAACTCCCAAAGAACAATCAGTACAATAAACAGATCCAATACTGAATCTACTAATACCCTATGGATCACATCTACATTCTCCATCTATTGGGCCTATTCTGTTACCTAAACATGATAGACATCCAAATTGATTACAATCTTTACATGAAGAATCACATTATTAACATTCTAAATCTGAATTCTCAAAGTACCCAATAGGGCAATTGCATATAGGTTTATTTACTCTTAATCCTTAGCAGATAGTACATAGTTCTGCAGTTCCATTGCAAGTAACACATTGCTTAGAACATTACTTACAATAAATCTAATAGCTGTCAAAATACCCATCTGGACATAAACAGTTAGGAACATTGATTCGATCTCCTAAACATGATGTACATCCATTAGCATCACAATCCTTACAATTATCCTAACACTTAACACAATTCACAGCCTCGCCATCATCGTAATAATAATCTGGACAGTTAAAATTAGGTAAAAGTCTATCACCTTTGCATTTCAGGCAAACAGTTGAAATTCCTTTACAAGTTAAACATTTATTCGCACATTTAGGACAATCAGAGTTAATTCCATCATCAAAATAACCTGATTCGCAATCACAATTTGGAGGATTTGGACTACGATTTCCTGAGCACTATTTACAAAATCTTGGAACTAATTCACAAGTGGAACATTAATATGAGCAAGCTCTAATAACAATTGGAAAATCTGAATCACATGCTGTGCCTGTAGTATTGAGAGTAAATCCTAATGAGCAAATACTTACACATTTATTTGCTTACAACAAATTATTACAAGCCAAGCAGTTATCTTCAGTTGGTCCAAAACAAGTTTTACAAGTTATATGACATGCATAACATCTTTTTTCATTTAATACAGGATATGAACCATCTTTGCATTCATCTTTGCAAGTATTTTCTATTGTCAATAGTTTTTCATTGGGACATGATGTACAATTATTATGATTAGGTCCTGAACATGCAGTGCACTCAGAATGACATACTTTACATTCATTAAGCAAATTATCATGATAAATATTTCCTTTGCAACTGGTGATACAAAAGTTTTAATATAAGATTAAGCCATTATTACAAGAAGAACATTCTTCTATTCCTTCACCAAAACAAGTTCCACAAGTGACATCACATTTTATACATAAACCATTATATCCAAAAAAACCACTTGGACATACAGAATAACATTAATTATCCAAAAAAAACTAA